GTTTATCCATATAGGTCTTCATGCACCAGGGCCTTTAAAAAGTATTTTTTAACTAATGTTAGGCATATACAAATCTAGAACACTGAAGTTTTTACCATTTTTGAAAAATAATGTTTTGTTACTACAAAGAGTTTAAAATCTTCATTAAATGCCTTAGTTTTGAGATAGGGATACTGAGGCACAGAGAGGCTGAGCAACCTTCCCAAAGTCACCTAACTAAAGAAACTGATTTTCAAGTCAACAGGTATGTAGTCTGGTGTTTTGTTGGCTTAACTGTTTATGCATTCATTCAAAAATATTTTTGAACACCTATCGTAGGCCTGACATTGGAATTTAGCAATGAAAAAAAGAATCTCTGCATCAAGAAGCCAATAGTTTGGTGGGGAGGACAGAAAATCAGCCAAGGACTATAATATTTACTAATGAAAAGAAAATAAAGGACATAAGGCTAGAAAGCGAAGGTCGATTGGATTGGGGAATTTTGGTAGGACGTGAAGTTTGGCAGGATGTGGAGTGAGGTGCCAGGTTCATAGGCCGTGGTAGGCCTTTACATTGTATTTTAAGTATAATGGGAAGTGAAGAGACTTGGAGCATGATGTAATCAGTTCCATCATGTTTATTCATAGTACTAAATGTTTGGTTTACTTCATGTTATGGCTTTCTTTTAAAATGTATGTCTACCTTTTATTTTTAAAGACATGGCAAAACCACATCTCCAGCAGAGATCCCCCTAGCTTCAGTGAAGTCGAGTCTGGGTAAACAAATCAGGCACATTTGCTGGGCTGGAGGGTCAGATGATCTATGTGTCTGCAGATCCGGATTCCTTCCTCAAGATTCCTGTCTTCACTAATCTAAGTTCCGTTTCCTTATACCCATCATTTCTAGTGATAATTAAACAGCAATGGCGACTTTTCCCGGAATCGTTTGAAACCCACTGCACTTTAAAGATGCAGTAACAGCAATGGGATGGAAACAAAACTTAAAAACAATTGTAAAAACTACAGTTTATCCTTTTAGAGAGTAGACATCATGGACTTTGTGGGATGGTCCTGATTGCAAATATTTTGTCTTTATGTCCTTAAAGGATATTTATACTCATTGCTCCATTATTTCTAGTTCTCAACAGATGATAACTGTTCTTATTCTATATTGTAAAACCAAATGAACTGAGATTTGCTCAAAAGGGTCTTCAATTGATCTTATATAACTACATAGTCATCTTGGGAATACAGATATCAATATGCTTCCATCTTTTCCTATCCTGAAGAAATAAAATATCACGAAAAATGCAATTATTGAGATATGGGTCAAGATTTTTCTTTCTTAAGTTTAAATCTGCACATTTTACCAACCTTGGAAATAGATATTCATCTCTGGCCTTTGGGCAATTAACAAGTTATTTCAGCTAAAAGGCATTTTTCATGAATCATGCTCTAACAGAAAATTTCAAAGAGAACAACTGATGAGAGAAAGAGAGAGAGGGAGGGAGGGAGGGAGAGAGGAAAGAAAACATTCTTCCTCCCAAACCTCCTAGAAAATATTTTAGATTTATTTTAAGGCTCAAAACATCATAATTAACTTATTTCTGTTGAGTAAGAATTCCAAAACCACAACTTTGTTCTGCTCTTCACTTAAATCCAGCTAAAACTCCTGTCTTTAAACATATTTTGAATGTTAAGATTTGCTCATTTTTTACATTTCCAAACTGCACCAACAAAGTTTGTGTGCTGTCACAGAGATGGCAGAATATGCAATAATTTAACCAGACTTTAAAACAACAACAACAAAAAATATTTATTGAGAATAATCTTGGCAGAGCTCAATGATGTCTCTTTAACTTAAATCCAACTATAGTTTCGGAGTCAATTACAATAAGACTTGTCAAATGTTCTTTTTCACAGGATAGATTCTTGTTCACACGTAAATGTATCTAGTGAACAGCGGAATAAAAAAGGGACCAAGCTAGGGGACACTAGAGCTAGCCTTTACTAGACCTGTAAGCTTGAGTAAATTAATCTCTTTAAGCCCCTGTTTTTCCATCTGTAAGTGGAAATATCACACGTAAACTGTTTAGCACAGTATCTGACACATAGTAAGTTCTCATCAGTATGAGCTATTTGTTATAATTAAGTTGGCCCCTGAGTCTCCTCCACAGCCCTACTATCCAGAGACAGCTGTCCTGATGTATAAGCTATGCATCAACAGTCAGGAGACCACAGCAATTGTGAGCTGGAAAGTACCTAGAAGGTCTCTGAGTTCAACCTCCCACATTTCCAGGTGAGGAAACTGAGACCCAGGTCAGAGAAATATGGCTCAGGGGCACAAAGTTAGTTATTGACAGAGATTAGAGTGTAGGTTTCCTGACTTCCAGATACATTATTATTTCCTGTAGTTCAAGAATCCCCTCTTATAAGGTGTTATACATAGCAGAGTGATGCTTCACACCATGTAACTAATGGCATTGTCTGGGGACTTGACTGATCATAGGGCTGGAGCTCCAACTGGCCTCCGACTACAGCTCACAGGGTAGGCTGCTAGTCTGAAGGCTGGAACGGAGCCTGGAGATGCTCTCTGATGCTTGGAGAGGGCAGCTAGAATATCCTTTTATAGCACCTATCAGATCTTGTCACTCCACCAAATTTTCCAGTAGTTTTTCTTTCTCGTTGGCCTTGGAACATACCAGGTACATTTCAACTACTGGACCTTGACTTAGCCTTCTCTCTGCCTAGATCACCATCTCCCAGACATCCACATGGCTCTGCTTTCACTTTATTCAAGTCTCAGCTCAAATGTCATCTCACTCCAGAGGCCTTCCTTGCCCTCCCCTGGACAGAGTGGCCCCTCTACCTCTCCTTTCATCCAGTCTGCTTTGTTGTTTTTCACAGCACTGATCCTTAGCTAACATTTTGATGGATATTAATTTATTTGCTTATTGTATTTCCCACTAGAAGGTCAGCTCTACAAGATCAAGGCATTTGATGTGTTTGCAGTTGTATCTTGAGGGTCTAAACGAGCAACCATCGTAGGCTCACTAAGTCTATATGAAATGAATGGAGGAAGCGAGGCAGGGATGAGGGGTTAGAGGATGGGTCTGTAAGTTTAGCAGACTCTACGGAAGAATTCTGAGCTGAGAGGGAAGCATCAAGATGAATGCTCCATCAAGGGGAAAACAGGCATCCTCTTTCTTAATAAGACCTTAAGCCACCTACCTGTTTAAATATACATGCTTATTTTATCTGCTTCCTCTCACTCTTTTGCTAACCTCATGAGAAGACGAACTCTGATTCTCTGCTGTGTCCCTCGCACTAGACCAGTGCCTGGTACATGGTTGGTGCTCAATAAATTGAATGAATAAATTAATAAGTAAAGGTTTATAAAGTGAAAATGAGAAGAAAAATAATGCAGATATAAAGTACCTAGGATAGGCCTTAAATATGACCTGGACCCCCAAACAGGCAACTGATACACTTTGGCTCTGTTGAATCTCAAAAAAAGCACATTAATTTTCAGAAACTGAATTTACATAATTTTTTTCCTCCCTCCCTCCCTTCCTTCCTTCCTTCCTTCCTTCCTTCCTTCCTTCCTTCCTTCCTTCCTTCCTTCCTTCCT